TATGAAAATAAATACTACCTCTACTCAGTTGTTGGATTTCAATCGCTTTGTTTAACTTATCGAAAAACACTAAAATGAGGACAAATAAACTCGCCAAAGTGACTATCTACTCCTATTTGTCTTATGTGTATATTTCAGACATCGTTACCAGTGTGTATGTTTACAATACACAAACTGTTACATGATAGCTTGAGTTGATAAAGCCGAAACCCAGCATATCGACTGGTCAAGGATATAGCCAATAACCAATCTCTATCCAAGCTGCTGAGTGAGCAAACGTGCTCTTCAGAAATTTCGCCCACGCCCCATCACCTGTCCTTTCCTCTGTGACAGGTATCTCATGATACGATTGGTCGCAGATAACATATGACCAGCCACTACATTGAACAGTTGAGATACCGAACGTTCTATTAGGGAAATTTGATCACGCCCTATCACGTGACTCTTCGTTTTATGTCTGTGCAAGGAATATGTAGTATACATTTTGTATATGTATGTTTGTATGGTCACGTATGTTTTCTGCATTAAATCTGTATGAAATAAAGTGCAATACTATGAATGTGCTTTGTGCTAGTCACAGACTAGCGTAATAGTACTTTCATTAAAATAATTCGTAAACACTAGAAATGTATCTGCAAAACCGCTATTTTCGTCGAAGATTATAAAGTATGAAAGTAAATTCTTCTTTACAGTATGTCATTGTCATAGATGTTTTGTAAATTTAAACCTCACACAATGATATAGGAGAGAGAATTTGTTAACGTGTGTCTCATCTGTTACATACAAAGAATACATGTGTATGCATTTTGTGATAAAATATAAATGTAGACAAAAGGTCTACAAGAGAAACTTGCAATAAAATTACATAAAGCTTGCAATACACGACATGTATTCACACCTAATTTCTTTCAACATATATCTTTACGACACAATTAAACAATCAGGACTTGTTTGTACGACTAGACAGTTTCCTGTGATCCCCGAAACCTGCCAGGGAAATCAGGTGTGACTAGCACTAATTAGTCTCGGTACAGAGAGTGGGCAATCAGCGAGGGCTTCCAGGTGTTGAGTAGTGATGGGGCTCGCGGGCTTAATGAGTTAAGTATAGACATATCATAAACATTATTCTTGCTTAGGTTTCAATATTGTGTGATGTGAAGGTATGAATGTGTTGTAAGAATAGTGTAAGTCGAATATTGGGTGTTTAGAGGTATGAGTTTAATGTTTATTGCATCATGCTTATTATGACTTTATTGGTAATATAGTAACATGTTTTGAAAGTCAGTCGACACACAAGCATGTGTGCCTGCGTAGCGGCCATCTTTGTTGGCCATGTTGTCTACTTGATGGTACATGTTATGTTTGTGCCACTTGAAATACTCAGAGGGCAAACTTTTCCTTGATCTCTGATTGGTAAGTTTAATGTTGTCTGTTTCTTCTTTACTTACATCAGCACATTTTAATCAGTCTACCACATACAGCTGCACAAGAGAGGCACCTTACACATAGGACGTGACATTTTGACAGACGTTTGATTTCTGCTCTTTTTGGTCTACAACCACTATCTGTTTAACGTCAGGGTATGAGTTCCTCCTGTTCCCCCATCCCAAATAATATTTATAAATTAATATATACTTTTTTAACAAAACCTAACACAGCAATTAATAAAGAACTCACAAAAATACATGTAGCTAAAATGCCCCAAAATTAATTAAAATATATAGGGTCGAACCACTTAGCGCTAGCTCTGTTAAAATGGGGAAGAAAGAATATGGGGGAACGATAGGAACTCTTTCCATTCTTGCTTAGGTTTCAATATTGTGTGATGTGAAGGTATGAATGTGTTGTAAGAACAGTGTAAGTCGAATATTGTGCGTTTAGAGGTATGATTTTCATGTTTATTGTATCATGCTTATTATGATAACTTTGTTGGTAATATAGTAACATGTTTTGAAAGTCAGTCGACACACAAGCATGTGTGCCTGCGTAGCGGCCATCTTTGTTGGCCATGTTGTCTACCTGATGGTACATGTTATGTTTGTGCCACTTGAAATACTCAGAGGGCAAACTTTTCCTTGATCTCTGATTGGTAAGTTTAATGTTGTCTGTTTCTTCTTTACTAACATCAGCACATTTTAATCAGTCTACCACATACAGCTGCACAAGAGAGGCACCTTACACATAGGACGTGACATTTTGACAGACGTCTGATTTCTGCTCTTTTTGGTCTACAACTACTATCTGTTTAACGTCAGGGTATGAGTTCCTCTTGTTCCCCCATCCCAAATAATATTTATAAATTAATATATACTTTTTTAACAAAACCTAGGTTTCAATATTGTGTGATGTGAAGGTATGAATGTGTTGTAAGAACAGTGTAAGTCGAATATTGTATGTTTAGAGGTATGATTTTCATGTTTATTGCATCATGCTTATTATGATAACTTTATTGGTAATATAGTAACATTTTATGAAGTCATTTTATGATGCTTGTGTGCCTGCTTAGCGTCCATCTTATATATACAAATTATTTATGCAGGTTTGTCTATAATTATGTTATAATAGCTATTTCAGAATTTGGTTAGTCTTAGACTGATATATGTTTTATCATGATAAGTTAGCAGAATATACTTAAAATTATGCTATTACTTATAGATGGGACAAGCTGAATGACGCTAATGTAAGGTAAACGTTGCTCACTGTCACCTGAGTACCATATATTTGGTAGGTATTTTATTTTTTTAATATGTTTATATTTCATGTATATTATTGCTACAAGTATGTGTAGAGTGATATATGTTCCCTATTATGATGGATATTGTGATATTTTGCTGCTAATATATTTCATGTCTTAGTACAATATATATAATCCTTTCTTGTAAACTGCATTTGTTTATTACTTATGCTTTCTCGGAAGTGATGCAGTTTGAGTAATTTGTATAACATTAAATATATTTTGACAGATATATAATTATTATCAGTAATTGTAATGTGCCATGTCCTAGATTACTGTAGTTTAGATGTGTTATGGCTGTTTTATTGATTGTTTATTATTATGTTACAGGGTGAAAACAAAACAAAATACATATATCTGAGCTCAATAAATTGTGGCGTAAGTCACAGTTCACATCCCAGCAGGCGTTGTTTACAATCAAAGAGTACCACCCCTACCCTGCTATAAAATGGAGCCCCCAGTGAGGAATGTGACTTAGAAGAGAGTGAGGAGCCACATCACTGAGAGATCAGTTGATTCAGTTATATTCACTTACTGCGTAAGTGTTATTATAGTAGAGCTCTACTTGTCACATTACTGTTATCTTGGTGGTGTACACGGGTCTGATTTTGTGCGTCAGTTACCAAAAACTTTGTGCTTGATCATGTGATCAATGAGTATATATTTTACAGGAAATATGTATAATCAGTAAATATGTATAATTACTGAAAATTTTAGTAATTATGTATAATGTCTGATTCCCTCAGGAATTATGTATATTTACTGACATTTTCTATAATTATACATAATTCCTGAAATTTAAGAAACAAAATTATACATATTTACTGAAATCATTTAAATTACTGAAATATTGATATTACTTTTAAAGTCAGATTTTCATAGATATGTCTTCATTTTTAGGAATAAGGTACAGCACATTCATTTTCATGAAGAAGAAAAGGAGACTGACGAGAATTCGTCATCGTTTTTCATTTTTAGATTTGTGCCTAAATTTGAACAGTGACACACATCTTCCAAAATACTGTATGAAAAGAGGAAAGACTTTCCCCATACGTCGAACATATTCGTGAAGTCTTTTCTTGGTTTAAATGTCGCAGACTTTAATGTACAATCAATCAAACTCCTTGATTTCATACAGCGTCAAACTACCCTTGCTCATAAGGTGTTTGATCAAGGTTACGACATTCAATGTTTCAGACATGTGTAACATATCTACCAATCTGACGCATGAGTGACAAAGTTAATGTCTGATACAATTCCCCATTTTGATTAGTACTGTACATTTGTAATTGCCCGTGATTCAGCCCCACAATTGACTCCCCATCACATTTGTTGATGACAGCTGCCACCGTTGGGGCAGAACTTTCTGCTTTTGTCAGAGATTTCTCATGGACTTTTAGGACTCTTTATAAACAAATTTAGCAAGTCATGGTACTGCCTGAGATACATTAGGTTAGAACCAGTGCCATCTCTTTGCATCTCAGATAACGTTCCAGCTCACCTCAAACACTATTGTGTTGTGTAGGAGAATGTGAAACAGACTCGGATGTAAACAAATTGACATCATCTGCCCTTTGACATTGGCACTCGTGCTTGTGGAACTCGTTAGATTCCTTCCTTACACTGCACAGTCATGACACTTCATACTTCAAGGGATAAAATGACATTTTAGCACTTAGGCATTGGGTAAATGCACAACCATAACTATATATCAGTGTATATCACACAGAAAGACCGAGAATATACTATACATTTGTAATTGCCCGTGTTTCAGACAAACAATTAACTCGCCATCGCCTTTGGTAATGGCAGCTGCCACCGGTGGGGCAGAATATTTTGCTTTTGGCAGAGATTTGTCATGGACTTTTAGGACCTTTTATAAACAAAGTTAGCAAATCATGGTACTGCCTGAGATATATCAGGTTAGGACAAGTGCCTATCTCATTTGACGTTTCATCAAACCTTTCATGACACTTCATACGCCAAGTGATATAATGCCATGTTTGGCACTTTGGGATTGGCTAAATGCAAAACAATGGTTATATATCCGTGTACATGCAACAGTTACGTTCTTGATTATGGAATGGGTGTAACCAGTCATCGTAGTCCGTTCGGGAACCCATTTTTCAGATAGATGAACAGGTAATTTTTTTGTTCCAGAACACAACATGATCGAAATCGATGACGTTGTTTCTGAAGGGGTCCTTGACAACCACATACCTGTCAATCGTTAGGTTGATGACAATATAAATAACTCGACACGAAGTAAGTTGCACCTTTTATTTGGATATCCGGAGAAGGGTCTACATGTCTGTCAGAATAGCTGCTGATGGATGCGTCTGGCCTTCTGCAACAGACACGAGTTCATATATTGCATACAAAGCTTCGAAAACAAACACGGTAAAATACACACGTGAATACTGTCATCATCGGTGATGTTTTTGTCAACTTGACTAAGTTCAAAAATGAAACATACAACTTTAAGGATGACAACTTATTTATTGCATAAAGCGACGTTTCGATGTAGATTCTTACATCGTTATCAAGCTAAAAGTGAATACAACCAGATGTAGAGAGGTATATATATTGAATAACTGGTACATAATTATGGGAGGCCAGTGGGAGACTAAGAACAACAAATGAGACTGGGAACGAAGCCAATAAACAAGGGGGATTAATGTGGTCTCTGTTGATCAAAGGTTTGTGGCGGCGAATTTCGTTATTCAATTTCATGTTGTTGTTAATGTTAATCTGCTGTTGTCAAATCACACTGTGTATATATACCCCTCTACATCTGGTTGTATTCACTTTTAGCTTGATAACGATGTGAGAATCTACATCGAAACGTCGCTCTTTGCAATAAATAAGAGGTTGTCATCCATAAAATTGTATGTTTCATTTTTGAGTAACCAACTTATAGAATGCCCAGCAAACAATTTGTCTAAGTTGAGTCACAACTGGACACGATTAGATAAAAGTCCAAGGAGGACGTGAGGAAAGTTTAGAAATTATCATCAAGGTATCTCACACTCGTGTTGTAAACTAGAGACGTGTTTGCAAACACTTTCATTTTCTCATGTCATCTAATACGAGTTCGTACCAAAGTACCTCCAGTGCTCGACCTCAATAACTAAAAACTAAAAAAGATAAAACAAAGTATCCAAGCGTCTAGATCTTACAAATAAGCATGCGACACTAACTCTCAATGAATAATGCAACTATGTTTCGCGCACATATATTGCTGTGTCTGTAGATGCTACAATTCCTTAAACCATAACAATGATCATACTTGAACATAAACATTAGGCTTCACTTAAGACAAATTGCAACACAATCTTTCCAAAGCAGGGTTTTGGAAACTGTTTAACCATGCACAAAGCAGTATTCACCTGTTCCATAAAGCTGAGTAAACAGCCAAGTCTTGACGAGACTATCCTGTCCATCGATGCCGTCTTTTCCGTGACCATCTGTTTCGTTTCCGTCCCCTTGGCCGTCTCCATCTTCGAGGCCGTTTCTTCCCATTCGGCCGTCCCGATCCTGACCAGCTGTTCCAAGTCGAAGCTGCAGTAGAAACGGTTTAGTTGTGAACGCTGCAAGCAGCAATATACCAGCTGTATGTAGATGACATATAGCAATCCGATTTGGACCAGACAATCTAGTGATGGACATTGTAGTGTATTTGCTATAAGTAGTTGTAACACCAACCCTATTGCACATCGTATTCTGATTACGTCATCTACACGAGGATGATGACGTAATGTATGGATCAGTTAGCCATCTTGAATAAAACACGAAGGTTGACACTTCTCCCTCGTTGTGTCTTGGTGCACATGCATGGGGTAAGGAACACCCCACCCAAACCTCTACGGAATACATTACAGACATAAGCACCGAACCAACTGATTGAAATGTAATGATCGAATGTAATCACTAGGTCAGTATAGTAATCATGACCGCAAGTCATTTGGTCACCGCTTGCGAAAAGCACAGGCTTCTTGTATCTTCTTGTATCCAAAACCCCCACCGGTTTTATTCTGAATGTATTTGAACAGATATGATTTTTGCATAATGGAAACAATGTTCCTGTTAACACGACATTTCATCAGGAAAATCGATAGTTTTGAAATTATTCGGATTAAAATCGTAAGTTGTAACTTCTAAAGACTGTGCTATCAACAAGTGATGCACAAATATTCGTACTAAGACAAATGTGGGATAAGTAGTTGTACACTTGTCAATGTCCATACCTTGCAAAAATGACAATGGAGTGATTCTTTACAATTTTCCAGCTACATAACCAGTTGGTTTACAAAGAAGATAATTTCCCCTTGCCTTTACAATGATTCATTATCCGCTTGCCATCATGTATGTCGTTTTGTGAACAACGTTTATTTGGGCTCCTTTCCAAAAAAATGAATCAGTGACGGTAAAGATATCCCAATAATATCAAGACACTTACTGCAGGGGTAACAGTTGCAAGTGACTGTTCTCTCCTCGTGTTTAACACAGTCAGAGCACGTGCAAGTATTTGTACACTCCCGATCGCGAGCCTGTATCTTTGTTCCGTCTCCGCACGTCACCGAACACTGACCACTATCAGCCCATGGGCACCAGGCACCGATAACTGAATATGAAATCAAGACAGAGTAACAAGAATATTTGAAAACGGAAAACTTACATCGTGCGTCCATGCTACAAGTTCACAACGAATGCAAAGTGAGAATTAAGTTTTGAGACTTTCGTTTACATACCTGACTACATCTTTTACTTTTCCTTTCTCAAAAAGCTATGTCAGCACAGGGTAGTTTGTATCACTGTATTTTAGAGAGTGAGTGAGGTAGTATTTAGCGTCACGTGGGCAATATTGCAGCCATATCGTGACGAGAACAATTCAATTTATATCAATAGTAAAATCAATAAATTTAGAACGTAAAAACCTGTCATCGAAGGACAGTAAAATACTAGATTATGACAGCTCTTAATTTAAAACAAGTACGCTATCATAAAAATGCATTACAAGAGACAACAGCACAATATAAAACAAGAAGAGAGTCATCAATATCCCCCGCAACGGCAAAATACTCTTTATGAATATGTCTACTAGTTATGATTATGTCAATTATTTTGGACTGTATACAGCAAAGTGGAAGGAGAACATTGAAAGGCTTTTATGACCTGCTCCAGAAAGGAGCACTACCACCAAATTCACTTGAAGCCTAAACTTGTTGCCATGCAATGGTCGCACGGACGGAACCCGTTTCTATACGGGGATAAAAACGGGCTGTAGGGTCACCAGCAACTGAAGGTTGATCACCACACTAGGGACCATGAGGACTGACAGCTGGACCCTTGCTGGATTTGTATTAACTCTTCAGCAGCTGGCGATTGTAGTCAAATTTAGACACAATTAAAATGACAAATATACTACATTTAAAACAGTTGGTAAATTTAAATTTTCTTTGAATGTTTCGGGACTTACGTACCCTCTCAGGAGGACAATAATTTTACAATGCGTTAACCACCTCGAGGATACAGCTTTATTTAAGTGATTACCAAGTCGACATGTTTTTGCACGTGGGGAAGATTTACTGTGTCTGCAAAGCTTACCCATCTTTGGCAAACAAGCTGAAGGAAGCTGCTGAGAAATGTTAACGAACAAGTGCTAGGCTTCAATGAAGCTATCACGGATGCTTCCACTACTGTCAGATTCCAGTCAAGAGGTTGACTGTGAACTCCAGACGCTCCATAGTAATATAAAATGACCTGTTGAGGCCATTGCGTCTTAGATGATCTACACATTACCCGTGTTTTCCTTTTTGGAAACACTGACTGTTTAGACACTTCATTCCTGTAGAAGCGCCGATGGGTTGTGATTTCAAGAAAGAAATACAATTAATATAGTGGTTGAATCTAACTGAATCATACGATGCCTTCTTCTTATCAATTGACTTGTTAAGCCATCGAGACTTAACTGAAATACACATCATACATTCTATCCCCTTACCACTAACGGATTTTTCTATTTATCTGGACAAGTACAAATCTCACACGCTACTGTTCTCGTCTCACTTCGTGTAAAGTTGGTTGGGCAACAGGTAGATTGGGTACAGTTCCGTGGCCGAGACTGCGTTATTGTCCCAGGCCCACAGGTCGTAGGGCAAGTTGGGTCCACTCACTGATAACTGAGGCGAAGGGACCAAGGGCACAATCAAACAGACATGGATGCAGAGTATGAAACTGAACAGCTGCAGGTAGGTAATGCACTCAGAATAGGAAAATTTGATTAATTCATAACACAGATATATATTTCATTTACTGTGTCTGCGCAAAACAAACCATGCCGTACTCCGTCGCTCGTCTATAGGAGAAACCATAGACGTTGTTCACTCCTTGACGTGTATCAGGTGAACACACGTACACAGTGTGACATAGTTGCATTACACATAGTAATATTTACTCACTAAACGATTCTTTCTACTAACCTGGACAGGAACAAAGCTCACACTCCACTGTTCTCGTCTCAGTTGATGCAAAGTCGGTTGGGCAGCAGGTAGATTGGGTACAGTTCCGTGTGCGAGACTGCATCAGTGATCCAGATCCACAGGTTGTAGAGCAAGTTCCATTATCAGCCCATTCGGTCCACTCACTGATAACTGAGGCTAAGGGACCAAGGGCACAATCAAACAGACATGGATGCAGAGTATGAAACTAAACAGCTGCAGGTAGGTAATGCACTCAGAATAGGAAATTGTGATTAATTCATAACACAGATATACATTTCATTTACTGTGTCTGCGCAAAACAAACCATGCCGTACTCCGTCGCTCGTCTATAGGAGAAACCATAGACGTTGTTCACTCCTTGACGTGTATCAGGTGAACACACGTACACAGTGTGACATAGTTGCATTACACATAGTAATATTTACTCACTAAACGATTCTTTCTACTAACCTGGACAGGAAAAAAGCTCACACTCCACTGTTCTCGTCTCAGTTGATGCAAAGTCGGTTGGGCAACAGGTAGATTGGGTACAGTTCCGTGTGCGAGACTGCATCAGTGATCCAGATCCACAGGTTGTAGAGCAAGTTCCATTATCAGCCCATTCGGTCCACTCACTGATAACTGAGGCGAAGGGACCAAGGGCACAATCAAACAGACATGGATGCAGAGTATGAAACTAAACAGCTGCAGGTAGGTAATGCACTCAGAATAGGAAATTGTGATTAATTCATAACACAGATATATATTTCATTTACTGTGTCTGCGCAAAACAAACCATGCCGTACTCCGTCGCTCGTCTATAGGAGAAACCATAGACGTTGTTCACTCCTTGACGTGTATCAGGTGAACACACGTACACAGTGTGACATAGTTGCATTACACATCGTAATATTTACTCACTAAACGGTTCTTTCTACTAACCTGGACAGGAACAAAGCTCACATTCCACTGTTCTCGTCTCATTTGATGTAAAGTCGGTTGGGCAACAGGTAGATTGGGTACAGTTCCGTGTCCGAGACTGCATCAGTGATCCAGATCCACAGGTTGTAGAGCAAGTTCCATCATCAGCCCATTCGGACCACTGTGTGATAGTAAGATTCACATGCACTCACCTTTTGATTACTAGTTTGATCACTTTTTGGTCGTGAATCATAAAGGCATGGTTCATTGTATAATCTGAATCGTACAGTGGACTCTGCCTTCAGCACATGGAATTTTATGAATATGAAACTGATTTTGTTATTTTTGTAAAGAATATTAGTCTTAAAATTTTACCGTGTCGTCTGCGACTCCAACGCCGAAACGAAACGTGTTAAAACCAGAAAAAACCGTGATTGTTTTGTTTACTGAAATAAAAAATTCTTCAGGGTGTGTTATGTTGATAGTGACTGACATAAATCCATCTGAACCTCCTTCCTCTTCAAGTTTGAGCAGTACAACACCTATGTCTGCAGTCTGCTGTGTGTAATCCGAAAGAGATATTTGACCGCCTGAAACGATAAGGTAGTACTCTCAAATGTCTGTTTCAAGCAGAAACACAAACATTTTTCTCGTTTTAATCATATTTACCCATTAGGTGCACCTAAACCATTTTTGAAACCTAAATAATGGTTACAAAGTGATTTTGCTTGTTGAAATCCACGTCCTAGGATGTGCTGCAAACAAGAGATGCAAAAGATCAAAGTTCCCAGACATATTACTGTTTCATCGAAATAAACTATTTTGAATTTACATTATCAAACCGGAAATCAAACCTAATCGTGAAATGTAAATATTTATACGAACAACTGAATGCTTTTTTCTAATTTGGGAACGTGGATGTCTCAACAGATATTATCGAATGCACTGCCCATGTGATTGTAGACCTGTAATGTGATTATACCCCTGTAATTTCTGTTAATGTAGCTGTCATTAAACAGTATTGTAAGTATTGGCTGGTTTTGCGTGCAAAAAACAATAGCAAGGGTAACAATGACAATCCTGCAGCAGGAAGCTGAAGTCCCTATGATTTCCATCCAGGTGGCCCCGCTTTGTTTCGTTGTGGCTTATAACCTGTGTTTTAAACAGTTGTAAATAACAGTGCCATGAATAAATGACCAAAACAAATTTGCACCAAAATAAAACTTTGTAGTTATAAAACAATTGTATAAGTGTGTCAACTTGGTCTCGTCACTATATACCAGGAATAACGGTGATGAGATGTTCAAATTTCTCTCATTCAAAAAAAGAAATCCACTTTTTGTAAACGTCGTCTACAAGAAGGCTACATGACACATGACAAGGCAGCCAACCAAAGAGAATTAATAGCATTGGGAAACATATTGACAAAACTGGATTTCAATGTTGTTTATCGCCTTGCTCAGGAACGTTCCAGCTCTATGACGACGGCCTGTGTATATGTAATCGTGCCCCGACCAGGCATCTAGTGACTGACATCAAGAGCACTCTGGGATATGATGATATGTATCAACCAAGTCAGCAAATTATCCTTTCATTCTTGTGCAATAGCCTGATAGTAACTACAGTTGCATATATACATGAAATGGGTGAACATTGTTTCTAACACTAACTGTCAACCATTAAAGGAATAACTAACTACACACTCAGTCAGGCAACATACGTCAGCAAGTTTGACCCATCAAAGGGTATTGGCAGAGTCTACTGAGTGAGCTTGCCAAGAGTTTGTCAGCTTTTGTGACTCCACATGAACTTTTTCATAACAAAGTTATCCCATGTGAACGTTCCAGCCATCTTCCAGCGTCTCATCACTGACATTACAGACGATCTTGGTGGTTACAAAGCGTTCATCAATGATGATTTTCCATTGAGTAGGATGGACACATGGAGGCGAGCAGTGCCGTCTTTGAGACACTCACAAAAAAGCAAAGTTCAATGTAAACTTGGCGAAACGTGAATTTGCACAGGCACATGTGTAGGTCATGTTGTAAATCAAGGTAAGGTACAGCCCTATCCAGCACAGGTGGAAGCAATTCGGAAAATAACATTTAAACCAACTGTAAATTTACTTTGAATGTTTTGGAACTCACGTGTCCACTCAGGAGGTCAATAAGTTTACAATTGTTTAACCCCCTCTTAGGATACAGCCACTAACAATCTCAGCTACTGATTTAAACCTCCAATTATAAAAGAAATACATTTGTCTACAATACATATCAAACAAACTATTGACAATTAGTTCAGTAATTAACATTACCAAAAGAACATAAACTGTTGTTACGCTGAAATATTTATCCCCTGGTGATGGAAACATAAACTCAGTCATCACAAAGACCATGATTCGTTCATCACAAGGGGTACAAAAAGCATGCATGAAGACCTCATCAAATCTGGACTGGCTACCCAAGTGGGTGTAACCAAGTGTTGGTTTTGTTTGATGAAAGGACAAGATATGATAAAGGCCCTTATTGGCCCACAAAATTTCATGATATTCAAAGTTCTACAACATGATAATTTTAGCATAAAAAATGCTAAATAAATTGTTGAAATTACCTCCATATGTTTTTTTTATATGTTTTAGTGCTGTTTTTTTCCTCTTTGAAGACCTCAAAGTTAACCTATTTTACAATATCTTCGAAAAACCTGCATTTTCACATTTTCAGAGTGATAAAAAAGTGTGAGCAAAAGCTTGACCCATCCCAATTTTTTCACCACACATGAAGAGAGTAAATTTGAATGCACTCCTAAAAAATTGTGGTGGGTCACGCTTTTGCTCATATCAAAATGTTTAAAAAAGTACATTTTTTTCTGTTGTATGAAATTGCCCCATACAACATCTCAAAAATAAACATTGGCGTAAAGTAATATCTCTGAAAACTATCTGTCACATTTACACAACTGTACCATGATTCATTACTATTTTGAATGTTTTAGAGCACTAAAATGAACTTATCAAACATGTTTATTAAAAAATTTCAATATCGTAAGGGACTCTCAAGGCTGATTACTTTGAGGTAAAACAAGGGTAGTTTTTTGGAGACCCTGTTGATCACTGCTGGAAAAATAAGAAGACATCAGAAGATTTTTCACAATGTGATCAGGCAGCATTCTAAAGGTGAGAATCTTTGTAATTATGCTAGAATTTTATCATATTTGCTCTATCATCTGTTTAGCAAACCCCTCTGTGTCTACTGGCACTGTCAAGTAACACTGGCATTCCACAGGATGTAACTGTGTATAAACATACACATTTTAACAAAAATAATGTAGCTTGATGTTTTCTAGGATATATCAGGCTACATTTAATATTATTAGAATAAGAACATTGTATCAAGGTCTAGCAGATTATGAAAAGCAAGCAGACGTCAAGTGACACATTGTTGCAAAGTGTAATATATAAGCTTAAAGTGACAAATAGTAACAGTAGAATCTGTAGCCTAGTGGTTACAGTGATGGCCTCTCAATTTTTTTTCTGTCATCAGACATTCAGGTTCAAATCCTGTTTTTTTTCTTTTCTTCTTTTTTTCTTCTTCAAAAGTTAAGTTAAACATTGTAAATTGGCTGACCAAACTTGTGCACATGAAATACAGTTTTGTAAAAAGATTTTCTTAAGTTTGGTAATGTAAGTTACACTGTTCAAACAAACTTGAATTAACATCATGTAAATCTTGTTTAAGCCTGAAGACACTGACTTTTCCACTTTGTAGAAGGTAAGCATTGTTTCAAAATGTTAGTATGGTAATTTCTTTAAGTAAATATTTACAAACTGTCCAGAGCTGTTAATTAGTGGTGCACTGATCAAACAAATAATTAGTTTATGGATATTTTGTGGGCTGCCAGTCAATTACCAATAAACAAATCACATAATCAATTAAAGCATTCACTATTTCTTCTTAAAAATATGTTAACAGAATCAATGACTATTGGTTTCAATTGTCATATTAAAATTGAGGACTGATTACCTTTGTTTTCATGTGCTCTAACAGTTGTTTTTATCTTATATCTATAATTGATCAAAAAGTGGCCTCAACAATTGCTTATGCTTTTGGAGGTCAATTCCCTTCCCTATATAACTATACTATTGACATGTTTAGCATTAGAAAAATTAGAAAGCACCAATTTCTTGAACATATTGATAATTCTTTTATGATTTCAAATATTTGTTTTCAGATAAGAGAAATTTGCTTGGACTGATTTCAGAAGAACTTAAAACTTGAGGTGGAAGGTAAGCATAATAATATCCAATATTTTTTCTTCAATTTTCTAATTTAATGTGACCGAATTTCAGAAATACTGATGTCTCAGTGGTGATTAAATCTGCATAAGCCTTCAAGGCCAGACTACTGACATTTGAAAATAAATAAGTAATGTTACCCTTGAATAGATTTATAATATCAAAGTTTTAAAACAGAATTTTCTTTTGATATAAAGTCATCTGTTTTTCAGTTGAGAGAAGATCTGGGTATGGCAGACACCAAAACAATATGCCAGTTTCCAGCAACTCTAGTGATACACGGTTGAATGCTGCAGTTCTTGGCAGTGATTCAGAAACTGATTCAGAGATTGATGACCATGTGGATGAAGAGGGAAAGTGGATGTTTTATATATCTATACAGTGAATGAGTTGTGAATAATTACTTTTTGAAGATTTTTTAACACTTACTTGGTGTCAAAATCAAGCTGTGCCAAGAATGTAATTTCACCTGAAATAGGCCCCTTTGAGGTCAAGACCTGTGCTTTTTAGTGCAACATGATTGGTTATTATAACAACATGTTGAGAATGAGATGTTTACTGTATATATTTGCAAGAATGTTGTAAATACTGACTTTTAACACTTACATGGTGTTAAATCAAGCTGTGCCAAGAATGTAATTTCACCTGAAATAGGCCCCTTTGAGGTCAAGACCTGTGATTTTTAGTGCAACATGATTGGTTATTGTAATAACATGTTGTGAATTAGATGTTTACTGTATATTTGCTAAAACCGGTTGTGAATACTGACTTTTAACACTAACTTGTTAAAATCAAGCTGTGCCCAAAATGTAATTAGACCTAAAATGGGCCCCCTGTGATTTTTCGTGGGACATGATTGGTTATCATAAGTACGTGTTGTA